CTCACACACACCACACACACATACACACACAAATACACGATTGTATGTATGTGTATGTATATACACTGATACGAAATAAAGAATAGTCTTTACAATACAAAAATCAAACACATATAAGTAATAATCCATTTCGGAATTTTCCAAACATACGCATATATTTTGCACATAAAGTTTTCGATAAAAGAGAGAGAGAGAGAGAGAGAGAGAGAGAGAGAGAGAGAGAGAGAGAGAGAGAGAGAGAGAGAGAGAGAGAGAGAGAGAGAGAGAGAGAGAGAGAGAAAGAGACAGAGACAGAGACAGAGACAGAGACAGAGACAGAGACAGAGACAGAGACAGAGACAGACAGACAGACAGACAGAGAGACAGAGACACAGAGAGAGAAAGCACATTGCAACATACCCAGCCATGCAATATTTACAAATACGTTTTTTGCAACCTAACGCACTTAACGCATACCAAGTAATCAAATTTGTCCCATGCGATAATTGATATCATTACGAAAAAAAAAAAAAAAAAAAAAAAAAAAAACATACCGTGATGTGACTAGCAAAGAATGTAATGCATTTTTACATTTTCTAAATCATTGCATATATCATTGCATGCAGGGACTTTTGCAACAGCTGTTCGCGATGCTGTTGCTGTTATTGATTGTTATTGTTTTGTCTCTTCGGATCTGTGAGCAACTTGTACATTGCGAAGAAATTTTGTTCATGTTCTTGTTTATTTTAGTAAGTTTTGAATTCATTTCGAATTTTTTAAAGTGATTTTGTTAATTGTTCATGCACGTTGGCACGCACTAATACTGCATGTGTATTTCTGTCTTCTTCTCTCCCTCTCTTTTTCTCTATCTATCTATCTATCTGGCTCCTCTCTCTCTCTCTCTCTCTCTTTCTCTGTCGTTCCTTCTCCCTCTTTTCTCTCACTATGCATCTCGTTTATTCTATCTGTATCTACCTTCCTCTCTTTACTAACAAAACTAACAAAATAACAACAAAAGAAAAGATAGGAAAAGACAATCAAAACAACGAAATAAACAAGAAAAACAAGGAAAAACAAACACAAACAATCATCAACCACCTTTCTCCCTCCCCTCCCCCCCCCGTCCTAGTAACCCCCCCAAATATATATATATAATATAACCTCCCCACCCCAAAAAAAAAAAAAGTTGATAATGATAAATAAGAAGATAATAATAATAAATAGACGAAAGTGAATAACAAAAAAAGATGCATTGCAACCGAAGAGAGAACATTGCAAGCTCCACAGCCCGTTGTTTTGCATCGGCTGTGCAAGGGCGGCGGGCGTGTTGTGTCGCCGCTTCCTCTCGTCGCCTTTAAGCTGGTGGGCGGGTCATCTGGGCCGGTTTGTTTGTTTGTTTGTTTATTGGGGGATTGGGGGGGTTGTGAGTGTTGTTTTTAATTTTTGTTTTTTTTTTCGGGATTTTTTCTTCTTGTGTGTTTGTGTGTTTTTATATCGTTTGTTTTCTGTGATTTTTCTTTCTTGTTTTTTTTTCGTTTTCTCTCTCTGTCTGTCTGTCTCTCTCTCTCTCTCTCTCTCTCTCTCTCTCTCTCTCTCTCTCTCTCTCTCTCTCTCTCTCTCTCTCTCTCTCTCTCTCTCTCTCTCTCTCTCTCTCTCTCTCTCTCTCCTTTCTTTTCTTTTTCACTTTCATCTATTCATTTATCTATCTAAACAAAATAAATATATTAACTATAGACAAATAAAATGAAAAATATCCCACCTAACTTCTTTCTTTCCCCCACAGGCCTGAAGATGTGGTGCGGGCGTGCGGGCGTGGTGGGCGTGGTGGGCGCCGCCTTGCTGCTGCTGGGACTCACACAGATCGTATCGGGCATCTATTTCATGCTTATGATGCCCATCTTTCAATTGGGCTCCAACATCTGGACGGGCACTTGGGTGAGTCTCCCCTGCAAAGGCGCTGCGGCTCCGTTTTCTTTGGTTCTTTTTTGGGTTTTAGAAGTTTGTGTTTTTGAATATGTAGTTAGAGACACACGTATATGTATATGTATTGTTTTACGTGTGTTTTGATATTTTTATGAGGGATATTTTACTTTTCAGTTCTATTATATGTGTTGTGTTTGTTTTCTTGTTGTTTTTGTATATGTTTTTGCATTTCATGTTCATTAATATTGTGATTTTTACTGTTATTTCGTGTTTTAATTGTTCTCTTTATTCCAAGATGATTAATACTTTATAGTGTAAACATTTTGATGATGCAATTATTTTACAATGATATTTTGATAGAAAAGACACTTGTATATGTATTATTGTGATCAATATTTCACTCGTATGCAACACACGCACAAGAAGAACAGACAAATACACACAAACTAAACTAACACACCCGTAAAGAATCACACACAAACATACATCCCCTACACAAACAAACAAACACACAACCCCCCTCCCCCCACAAACAAACACCCCTCACCCTCCCCCCACACTCAAAAGAAACAACCCCCCTCCTCCCACACACAAAACAACACCCCCCACCCTCCCCCCCCACACACAAACAAACAACCCCCTCCCCCCACACACAAACACCCCCCCCCTCACCCCCACACTAACAAACAAACAAACAACCCCCAACAAACACCCCCCCACAAACAACCCCCAACAACCCCAAACAACCCAGCACCTAACAGCCTCCCCTCTCCTCGCCTCAGTCCAGCATGTGCGGAACCGTGGGCCACAATCGGATGGACGGGCCAGACCATGCGCCGCGGCCAGATGGTGCTCGTGGCCACACTCAGCGTCCTCGTGACTAATGTGGCCAATCTGGTTATCATTCAGGTGAGAGAAGGGGTTTGGTGGGGGAGGGAAGTGGAGGGAGTGGAGGGAGGAGGGAGGGAGGGGGGGAGGGTGGAGGGAGGTGGATGGGTGAGGTGGGAAAGGTGGATGGGTGGGGAGGGGGGGGGATGGGTGGAGAGGATGGGTGGATGGGTGGGAGGAGGGGGAGGGTGGTGGGAGAGGTGGAGAGGTGGAGGGAGAGAGGAGAGGGAGAAAGAAGAGAGAGAGAGAGAGAGAGAGAGAGAGAGAGAGAGAGAGAGAGAGAGAGAGAGAGAGAGAGAGAGAGAGAGAGAGAGCGCAAGAAAGCCAGATATAAAAAGAGAGAGAGAGGACAAAGACGAGCGAAGAGAACGAGAGCGAGGACTAACCCTCCCGTGTCCCGCAGGTCGGCGAGAACGGCGTGTTCCTGTCGGAGAGCGACGTGCGCGCCATCGTCGGCAACAACCAGGAGACCACGATGCTTATAGGTCGGTTCACGCCTCCAGTCTTTGAGAAATAGAGTTCGTGCCATGTCAGTTTCCTGTGTCTTATTCTGTAGGGCCTTCCGCGCCACCCGTTCTGACGCCCTCTCCCCCGCAGCGTTCTGGCTGACCACCGTCGTCACGGCCATGGGCATCGTCGTGAGCTTCTTCGGCGCGCAGTACCTGTTCTGCGTGGTGGTCCGCGGCCCGAGGGTCAAGGGGCGCATGCCGGTCACCAGGTCGCTCTCGGAGGAGGACCTGCATCACCGCCAGGTACACACCCCCCCGCGGCTGCGGTCGCCCTCCTCCGCGGGCGCCGGGGAGGTGGCCGCGCCGAGGGCGCAGAGGAGAGCCAGTAGTGTGGGTGGCGGAGTGCAAGTGCATGGCATGTGTGGTGTTGGTGATCACGGTGAGGCAGATGGTGGTGGTGGCGGTAGCACTAGCGGTAGGACGCGGCTCCTGAGCGGCGGCAGCGGCGGCGGCGGCAGCTCCAGGGGCAGCCAGACGGGCATCGACAACCCGTCGTCGCAGCCGGAGACGCCCGAGAGCTGCGTGCCGTACTTCCTGCGCAACCACCGCTCGGCGTGGCAGTTCATCCTGCCGGAGGTGGTGCACGAGATGCGGCAGAACCAGCAGTTCGCGGCGCGCGAGCCCGGCGCCGACGGCCACTCGCGCACGTCCACGCTGTCCAAGGCGTCCAAGAGCTCCTTCCACCCCGCCCGCCCCCCCCGCAGCGACCGCGCGCCCCGACCTGGTGGGCTTCGAGGCGCAGCTCCAGCCGCTCGCGCACTCCCGCAGGAACTCCCGGGCGCCCTCCTCCAGCCGCAGCACCTCCATCTACTCCATCCCCGAGAGCTGCCACCTGCAGACGACGCCGCGGCCGAAGGTGGTGCGCCCGACGGCGCCGCCGCCCGACCCCCCGACGCCCAAGACCTCCAGCGGGTCCCGCAACATGCGCGCGACGTCGGCGGGTGGGTGGGAGTCGTGCGCCGTGGTCCAGTACTCCCCGCAGGCCGGAGGGGGCTTCGTGGTGGACCTGGACTGAGGCCCCTCGCTTCCTTAGTCGTAGTCCTTCCCTAACAGGTGCAGTCCCCTCACCCCCCGGGCGCCGCCCCTGAGCCTCGTGCTCACGGACGCCGGAGGCGGGAGACCGAGAATCTCAGTGCAAAGCGAAGCGAGTGACGGGGCGACCCACGTGCTGCCAGCGGACGCGCCTTGCGTCACGCTCGCCGGGACACTCACGCTCTTTTCTCGAGAACACTTCCTGTGGCTCGGCTGGCACCCGCTCCCCCGGCCAGGAGAGTGCCACAAACGCTCAATCTCATGTACTCTCATGTACTCCCTCTTGTACATTGTTATCCCATTCCCACACAAACTGTCGGCGACATTTGTGTACATTTTTCACACAGCAAATAAACCAAAGACAAACTATCTATCTGTCTCCTTTCGCATGGCAGTCTGATTCCCTCCTTCATTCCCCCCAAAGCAGATTACGAACTCTGCCGCGACCTTTCACTCGGTAGAAGACGAGAAAGAGTATGATACAAACTAATTGCCAGTCTTTCTAAGTAAAGAGGATATGGATGGTTGCGAAAGACCAAACCTCGTACCTCTAAATGCATCTTTGTAGTGCGATGCCCGTCCTTCCCTCGCTGCTCGTCTGACAGGACTTCTAGGATAGTGTTCTAGGATGAGGAGTCATTTTTTTCGAGGTCAAGTATAGCTGTTTGACTGACCTGGGTCGAATGAGCATGCTGGTGGCGACAGAGGGAGAAAAGTCAGGTTTAGGTTTGATTTTATGACACAGCTCTTTCCTTCTCTGTCACCTGACTCTCTCTCTCTCTCTCTCTCTCTCTCTCTCTCTCTCTCTCTCTCTCAGTCATCTCTCATCTCTCTCAGCTCTCATTCTCTTCTCTCTCTCAGTCTCGGCGCCTCTCCTCTCTCTCTCTCTCTCTCCTCTCTCTCTCTCCTCTCTCTCTCTCTCTCTCTCTCTCATTCTCTCATCTCCTCTCTCTCTCTCTCTCTCCTCTCCTCTCCTCTCCTCTCCTCTCCTCTCCTTCCTCTCTTCTCTCCTCTCCTCTCTCTCTCCTTTCTCTCTCTCTCCCTCCTCTCCTTCCCTCCTTCCCTCCTTTCCTTCCCTCTCCTCTCCTCTCTCTACTGCCTCTCCTTCCCACCCTCCCTCCCTCCCACCTTCTCCCAACACACACTTTCCCCATGGTGACACAAAGGCATGTTGTCAACCCAGCAGCAATGCAAGGAATGAATGACTAATCTCTTGTCAACTGGCAGACCTTCAGCCACGACCGTTTTCTATGACCAGAACGGCCGCACCCAGACTTCTCTAGAACCGCGGTGACAGCGGAATGCACAAACACCGTGTGATGAAAACGCCAGTAATGACACCATTGAGAGAAAAAAAATGCATACATCCCGATCGCTACTTCAAGAAGACCCAGACAACAGATATTTCCCTCTCACCTTCCCTTCCCTCCCCCTCAAAAAAAGGAAAAATAGATATATATACTGAAAATTGAAACATGAAAGCATGACCCCTTCTTCCACACTGCATGAACGGTACAAGTACTTAATCCAGCACTGACTGATCACCTACGTATAGTTCAGATGGTCGAGAGTTCTGTCCTTTCTGCCCACCTGTGCATGACACTTCTGCATGATTCTAAGGACCAGCTGTTAACTCCTCCTTCTAGTTCTTCAGCGGTTCATGAGGGTGAGTAGAACTTTTTTGGCTTCATGGGATCATATGGATTTTCCTTTTTCTTTTTCTTTTTCCCTCCAGTGTGTTTTAGTTGAGTAAAGCTTGCATTAATTTCTGCAATTTTCATTTTGTTTCAGTGATTCATTTCATTTTAATTATTATCGTTTATTAGTTCTCTCTTTCTCTTTCTCTCTTTTTTATTCTTCTTTTTCTTTTATTCTTTTTCTTACCTTCACTCCTTCTCTCTCTTTCTCGCATTTTTTTCTTTTTTTTCTGCTTGTACTCATCTCTCTCTCTCTCTCTCTCACTCTCTCTCTCTCTCTCTCTCTCTCTCTCTCTCTCTCTCTCTCTCTCTCTCTCTCTCTCTCTCTCTCTCTCTCTCTCTCTCTCTCTCTCTCTCTTTCCTTCCCTCCCCCTCTCTTTCGTTACTGTTATTATTGTTATTATGCTGTTATTATCGTTTTTATCTTTTATCATATTTTTTCTCCCTTTATTATCATTGTTCTTGTTATTACTATTTTTATCATTGTTATTAATATTGTTATTATTATTATTATTATTATTATTATTTTACTATTATTACCATTATCATTATAATTGTCGTTATCATTATAATCATTATTACTATTATTATTATTATCATTATTATTATCATTATCATTATTATCATCGTTAGCATTACTACTAATACCAGTTTTACTACTGCTAACTAATTCTTTAGCTAATTCTATTCCATTTACTACTATTACGTCCATTAGCAGTATCAAATTATATTTTTCATTCATTTATTTCTTTCTTTTTGTAGCTTTAAAAGTCACTGACAAAGACACTTCTCTCCAGAGAGAGATGGACAAACCTACACAAAATAAGAAGACCAAACCACAAACCATTTCAAATAGATTAAATTGATTGGTCCTTTGCCACGCTCTCTTCACCCCCCCCCCCCGTGCTCCCCCCACTGCCCGCTGTGTCCTAACGAGCCGTTCGTGTCCGCAGGAAGGGGGTCCTGACGCGCCGCCGCCCCTCGAGGACGTGCTGGCGCTGCCCGACCCGGCCGGCTCGTCCGCCTGGGTCTACCACCCCGAGGAGGATAAGAACCCGACGGCCCTCTACCCGATGGGCCTGGACCTCCTCTCGGACTTCCCCGACGGCAGCCGACGCCCGCCCGCCCGCCACGCGTCCTTCGCCACGCCGCGCTACGCCCGCGTGCACCAGCGGCCGCAGCGCGCGCAGAGCTTCGCCGTGCGGCGCGACGCCAGCATGCCCGACGTGTACCCGGCGCGGCCGAGCCCCGTCGTGTGCCCCGAGCTGCCCTTCAGCACGCTGTCGTCGCAGTACGCGCGCCCCAACGCCCGCCGCATCCACCGCTCCAACTCGGTGAGCGGGCGCCTCCTGCTGGGCGAGGACGCGGGCGCCGCCACGCTCAGCCGCAAGTTCCACGCCTGCTCGCTCGACGACCTGGACGCGGCGCCCGTGATCGAGGTGGGCACCTTCCCGCGCGACCGCAGCGTGTCCGAGCAGAGCCTCGTGTCGTCCTTCCAGGAGCTGCCGCCCGGCGGGGGCCTCGCCGCCCACGTCCACCGCGCCGCCAGCGTGCAGGAGCGCCTGCTCGACGGCAAGAAGGTCCTCACGTCCTTCGGCCCCGTCAGCAGGCCGGCGGTGCGCGTCGTCAAGCCCAAGGGCCCGGCGCCCCCGCCGCCCATCAAGCCCAAGCCCAAGCTGCAGACGACGCCCCTGGTGCACCGGCCGCCGCAGGACTACGACGACGAGGAGCCGCGCGCGGCCCGCGACGAGGACGCGCTGGCCTACGACAGCGCGCAGATCTGCGCCGCGGAGATCGCGCCGGAGCCGCCGGTGCGCACGGAGAGCCTGCTGCGCGACGCGCACCCGGGCATCGCCAAGCGCATCACGGCGCTCGAGCGCGCGCTGCCACTGCCGGTCATCGAGGAGAACATCAAGAACACCCGCAAGCGGCCGGCGCCGCAGCCGCGCAGCATCCTCCCGCCGCACTCCGACGGCGAGTCCTCGCGCGAGGCGTCGCTCACGCGCCCGCAGGACCGCCGCCCGCCCAAGCCCGAGAGCGCCAAGCCGCCCAAGCCGGAGGCCGCCAAGCCGCCGCGGCCCGAGGCGCGGAAGCCGCCGCGCTCGTCGCTGCTGGAGAAGCCGCCGCGCCTCGCCGGCAAGAACACGACGCTCGCGCGCCCGGGCGCCGCCGCCCACGCCGCGCCCGCCAAGCCCGAGCGCAAGCGCGCCGAGGGCGACAGCGCGGCCAACCTGCGGCGCCTGGAGGAGGTCCTGACCAACATCCTGGACCACGGCGCGCCGCCGCTCCTGCGCGCCACCAAGTCGGACGAGAACATCGCGGAGAGCGCGAAGGCGGCGGACGCGAAGGCGCCGAAGGGCATCCTGAAGAAGGGCCCGCGGGCGCCCTCCAAGCCCTCCAAGTACGAGGTGGCGCACCGCGAGGCGCTCGAGGACTCGCGCGCGCTGCTCGAGCGCCTTCCGCGCGGCGAGCTGCAGCGCAACAAGATCGTGCTGCGCGTGCCGTCCTTCCGCACGGCCGGCTGCCAGACCGAGGCCTACCCCGTGCGCCGCCGCGCCTCCTGCGCGCAGACCAACCTCAGCGTCGCGCCGCGCTACCGCACCGACGCCGCGGCGCCGCCCGTGGCCAAGCCGCCCGCGCGGCGCCGGCCGAGCGCTGGGGCAAGGGCGGGCGGCGCGAGGAGCCGCAGGCGGCGGCGGCGACCGACGGGTCGTCGTCGTCGGGCTACTCGTCGCCCGAGGTGAGCAGCAAGGAGCCGTCGCCGCCGCACTCGGGGCCGCCGTCGCCCGCGTCGTCGTCCGCCGCGCCCAGCGACGAGGACGAGCGCCGCTGCGGCGACGCCAACGTCACCGTCATCGAGATCAACAAGGGCGACGCGGCGGGCGGGCGCGCGCGCGCCGCCTCCGACCGCCCGCCGCCGCGCCCGCCCAAGCCGCTGCGCCTGCGCCACATGTCGGACGCCGCGGCGCTCGTGAGCAGCCAGGGCGGCCTGCTGGTGCCCGTGCACCGCAGGACGGCGCCGCTGCCGCTCTACGAGGACGTGTTCGGCCTCGCCGCCCTCACGGAGAACGTCATGCTGCTCACGGAGGCCATCAACCCGGTGCTGGTGCACGCGACGCGCCCCCACGACGGCGCGGGCGGCGGCGCGGCGGGCGGCGCGCCCTCCACCGCGCCCAGGGTCGTCGACGTGATCCGCAAGACGCTGCAGGCGCCGACGTGGGACGGCCGCACCGCCGCGCTCCCGCGCCCCAGACCCGCCCTCCGCACGCACAGCCTGTCCCTCCCGCGCCCCTCCGTCACGCCCACGGGACGCCCACACGCCTCCAGAGGGTCTCGGTCGCCCTCGCCCGTGCGCCGCGAGGAGCAGAGGCAGCAGGCGGAGAAGCAGAGCTCGGCCTCGTCCACCGCCGCCTACCTGGCCTCGCTCGAGCTCCTGGCGTCCCACTACAGGCACCAGGCGCTCGCCAACGCCAAGGTATAGGCCGCCCCGAAGCGCTCTTGACTCGAAATTCGTGACGGCCTCTAGCAGGTTTAGAAGCGAAATGATTAAACAGAATTAAATGGATAAAAGTAGATTTAGCATTTAAAGACATTTATCATAATTCATGTCTAAATATATGTTTCCAGATTTCTAAATTCAAATTAAGCATCCAATTCATTTTTTAAAAATTCAAAATGAGTTTCCAATTCATTTCTAAATTCAAAATAAGTTTCTAATTAATTTCTAAATTAATAACGTCTCTAACCTATCTAACCCTAACAGCAATTACAGCTGCAACAACGACTGCTCATGCAACAGCAACAACAGCATCAGGAACAGCATGAACAGCAGGAGCAACAAGAAGCGAAGTTAAAAGAAGAGTCAGAGGAAGTCAGCGACGCGAGTCCGCCGTCAGAGACGAGACCGACCTCTGCCTCCACCACCCAGACTGCCAGCGAGTCCCTGTCGCCCATAGAGCAGGAGAGCGAGTGTTGACCTGCGGTGGAATCCTCCGTGCGGGCTTCCTCTTAATGACTGGGTTTCTTGGAAGGAGGCTGGCGTAGTACGGGGACGGGAGTTGGAGAAGTTTAGAGAAGTTTGTGCAACGGATGGTTATTATTAAGTGGTTGGGGCTTGCAATGGAAGGATTAATGTGCTTGCAACGAATGGATAGCAGTGTTTGGCCTTTGCAACGAAAGAAATATTCGTTTTGGGGGTTTGCAAGAGAAGGACTATGGTGTTTGCAACGAAAGGATATCAGTTCTAAGGGCTTTGGAACAGATATGTGTGTGCGAAGTCTGCAGTGAAAGGATATAGGGCGTTTGCGATTTGCAACGAAAATATACCAGTGTTTGCAATGAAAAAAGTGTTTGGGAAGCGGTAGGTTCCTGTTGTCAGAGAGAGAAAAAATATAAGCATTGAGAGATGCCGTCGGTTTGTACGGGATCACAATACAAATACATTTTCTTGCGTGTACATATATATACATATGCTTTCAAAGACACACGTCTGTGCTAAAGTTACTAAAACTGTCAATGTGGAGGAACAAAGCGAAGTTGCTTCCACTTGAGACAGAGATATATGTACAAAAATCCCCAAAGGAGTTTGTGTGTCACTTTTTTTCGATTTTTGTTATACCTGAGAAACATTACTTGATATTACTGAATGAATTGTTTGTCAATGAAAATGGCAAAAGGAGCGCGTGTACATAGTTGAGATTGCGGTGTCCTGTCAATATATACTACAAATATATAAATGTTATTGCTCCAGATATGAATGAATTTGATTCTTTTTCTGAAATTCAGTGTTTTTGTGTTATTGGACCAGTGTTTTAAAGATTCTGTTAATATGAATAAATAAACAGATGAATAAATGATTGATTAAATTTATAAATGTGTATGTATATGTATATATATGTATATACACATATATACACATATATACAGTATATATATGGCATACATATTTTATACGTTTTGATGTGTTGCTCATTCACATATCAGTATATCCACTTTGTTATATAAATTGATTTTTTTTTATCAAATATTTTAATATATTGATTGATTGCAGTGATTGTCTACATTAAGCTGCAACATTCCGAACATTCTCCCAGAAATAGGTTATCATATAATATCAAATTCTAAAATTTTAAAAGGTTATCAGTGTAAATATACTGCATCTCTCTTCTTGTTACTTGCAGAATAAAGAATAAAAATATGACAGTAAGACTTTAAAAATGTTATTACTATGTATACTACGAGGTCTTCCACATAAAATGATAAATAATATGCATATTCCAAGTGCCTATATGAAAATATGTGTTGCATGGTTTAATATATGTAAACTTTACTAATAAGTATTGAAACAAATATTAAAATAATGATATATATATCTTTACGCATATGTGTACACACACACACACACACACACACACACACACCACACCACACACACACACACACACACACACACACACACACACACACACACACACACACACACACACACACACACACACACAAATACATAAACACATGCATAAGTATAAGCATATATACACATGTACATGCAGCATATGCATATATATAAATGTATTCAAATATATAAAGTGAGTTATTGTCTAATATATAACTATCAGACAGACATATGCATGAATGAAAAGCCTATTCATTTCCTGTTGTATGAGGTAATGCGATGTATATTTTTTGTACATAGACTATTTACCTATTACTGTTGTATACTATACTAAAGTGTAAATAAGAAATACTGTAATATATATTTGTTCTGAGGGACGTATGTGCACTATTTTCCTGTGGTATATATATTTCATCTTGCAAATAAGTCATATTTTTTGGCTTTTTCAAGCTTTAACTACTTTTCTAAGTGTACTCAGATTTTATCAAAATAAATGTCTGGAATAAATACCCGTCTTCGTTTCATTCAATCCACCTCTGATATCTGCCAAAAATGCAAACATTTTCCATATACCAAAGTCTATTGAAAATCATAAACCAATAGCGAAACTGAAATATCTTGATAACAGATTTGTAATATAACAACTATACAGAAATATTTATTATATGGATACAATTGTAAATTGATAGAAGCTAAATCGCTTTGACATAATACGAGAAAAATGTCTTCAAAATACATTAAGAGCCGAAGCTTGAAATACCACTTCCAACATACACTAATAACAGGAAATGATACATATTGATCAAACCCTCAATTAAACCATGGGTCTGGCCTTGGTTGATATTAGCAACATGATATGATATAATATAATCATATATCTCAATTAGCTTCCGGTAACAGTTTATAGAAATATTTCCTGTTGTACAAAGAAAGGCAAACCACTGCGGTCACTGTATGGATGTTGGGAAGAAAAAGAAAAGAAAAGAAGAAGAAGAAAAAAAAAAAACGGCACATAAATGTTAAAGAAAGAAGAAAACAAAGTAATGCACATTAAGACAACTGGTTGATAAAACTGGCAAATAATAATAATAAATTAAACGAAAAATGGGAAAGTTAAGGAGTAATGGTTAACGGTTAAAACAAACAAATGTGCTAGACATCGAAGGTCATATGACACTATGGGGGTGTATGGTAAAACGCTCTACCGTGTTGACACCATGGTAGAAAAATCCGTAATGCACAAACTACATTTCAGTAAGTCTAGTTTGCGGATTGTGGGGTTTCTATAATAGTAAAGCATTGTTGCTGTAAATCATCGGCTTGCCTTAAACTGGTGACTATGTAATTACCGAATGAGCTAAGTCCGTGAAGCTCCACGAACCAAAACTGTTTCAGGTTCGGTTCCGTCAAGAACCAGGGTCGGGTTGAGAGTTTTCGTGAAGCGGTTTTCAGTTTGCTTATTTCGCTATTAACTCGGAAATGTTTTAGGTCTTGTCCACCCCCTCCCCTCACCCTTAATATTTTTGTGGGTTGAATGTCTTTTTCAACAGCGAACTTGACATTACTTATGGATAGTTTGAGGTTACCTATTCTTCAATTCTTTATTTATTTTATGTCGGGACTCGACCTTCCTCACGGGCCGGGGGAAGTGACGTCCTTTACATATACTTACATAAAACATATCAGTGTTCTACGGAGGAGAGATAAGAAGGAAAAGAATTAGACAGTAGTGAACAGAAAAAAAATATCAGGAAAGAACAAGAAGTGAAACCCCGTGTTTGTTCCTGTGATCTGTGTCTGTTAGTTCGTGTCCGTGTCCATGTGTGTGCCTTTGCTCCCGTGTCCGCACGCGCGCGCGCGTGCCTGTGTGTATGTGTATGTGTGCGTGTGCGTGCGTGTACGTGCGTGCGTGTGTGTTTGCTCCAGCGTCCGTGTCCGTAGTTCCAGTGTTTGTCCGTGTGTTTGTGTTTGTCCCGGTGTATGTTGTTGTGACCTGTGTCCCCGTGTTTGTTCCTGTGTTGGTGCCCCTGCGTTTTCTCCTATTTTGTGATGTTTAGAGCAAAATGTGTTAAACGTCAAACGTCATAGTGCGCTATAGGGCAGTATGGTGGTGAAAAGGGGAAAGGTGTTGGAGCAAATGGAGTAAGGCGGGGATTAGTGTAAGGGGGAAGGGGGTTAAGGCCGAAGGGTGAATAGATAAAATGGAGTAGAATCTCTGTGTCTGAGGAAGGAAAAGGAACAATGTGCAGCAATCGCCGAGTGTTAAGGATAGAAATTAGTGAAGTAGAAGGATAATAATCCGGAGATCATCACTGTGGTGACGAAGTATTCTCGTGAGTATCCAGGTGGGAGCGCCAAAGATGATGGGGAAAGAAGAGGGGATGATGCACACGGAGAAGGGAAGGACGAGTTGTGTTGGGAGAGAGTGGGAGGAAGAGGGGGAACTTGAGGAGGATGGCTATTGACAATCACTTTGAATTTAGAGGGAATGGGGGTGGAAGGAGGGTGGATGAGAGAGGGCCGTTCTCGTCCTGATTAGTAAGTTTTGGATGTCCTCAAGTTTATGAAGGGGAGTTGGGTGGGCAGGTCAGAGAAACAGATTTTCTTTGGAGAAGAAGAGAGGAAACGGATATCCGAGGGGCAGAGAAGACGCCAACATTTAACATTGACAGGGAAGGAGTCGAAATGGTCGCACAAGATAGGACATTCCGCCACTATAAACATCATGGGGGAGGTCATGTCAACGGTTTATGACTAGTGCAGTGTAGGACTAGTGTAGCAGGCAAGCAGGTCGTTTTCATAGTCAGATCAATCCTTGCCACAGACATGGTATTCAGCTGGGATATGGAAACAGTTCCAGGATAGGGAGTGAGGTGAGTAGGAGTAGATTAGCCAGCGAGGTCAGTCAGAGTAGATAATGCACGATCTTGGGACTCAGATGTAGGTATTACTCGGTGTGAACGATCGGTTAGGTTGCGTAAGGAAACTTTGCCTATTTGTTTTTGGAGACGTTGGAAGCGGAGGATATTGTCAGAGTAAGGGGCTGTAGGGAAAATCACAAAGAATCGATCCCACTTGGCTGGCCTAAAGAGAATACTCAAAAAGGTTTAATAGTTGAAGTAGTAGAAGGACGAGGGCGGGAGGAGGAGGGTGAGGGAGGACGACGGTAAGGATGAATAGTAGTATTAAGGGAGGGGATAGAAAATGAAGACTGTGCAGATGGAGTGGAGGATGTTGGTAGAGATGAAGGCATGTATTCTGAAGGCTGGGTAATGACCTGGGTCGTTGATTCTGAATGGATAGATTTGACAAAGCATCAGGGAGGGCCCTGATCAAAGGAGAGGCAGTGGTCGGGGAAACCAGAGAAGTCAGACCTAGATAAACTAGTTTATGAAAGGGCAAGCCTTAATGCCCCTAATAAGGACACAAAACCATTATTGGACATAGTGAGATATGCGAGGAAGAGGAACGGTGTACCCCTCAGGGTCTCCATAAGGGGTCAAGGCTAGGTGATTAAGCAAGGGAAGTCCATGCCCATGGCTCCCCGAGGCCGTTCCCAACTGTCACAAAGCCAGCCTTTCATCCTATCGGTACAGCTCTTACACTTTAGAAAGTGGATAGAAGGGATTTGAAAAAACTAGTTGAGCCAAGAGCTGAGGCCAAAGGTATGGCTCAGTCCGTCTCTTATGAACTTCCACAATAACAACGGACATGGGTTGGGGGTGGAATTGAGGAGTAAGTAAATGAATGAAAGAAAGGATAAGAGGAAGAATAATGAATGAATGATAGCCGAATAAAAGATCAAGAATAGCGTAGAAGGTTGCTTAAAGCTACGAATAGGTCAAGGTAGATAGTGTGTCTGATGAATTTTCAAAGCAGTGGAACTTTATAGGCTGAAGTTATCAAAACTACTTGCCAGATTACTTCAATGTTTAATGTTTTAAACAAATAAATGTTAGAGTTCTTATAAAACTATGGTACAGTACTGTGATGAAAAGGGCAAAGTTACTAAAGTTTCAACGGTCATATGGTAAGACAGTAGGTAGTGTAAGGGGTAGAAAGAGGGGTAGTAAATAGAGTAGAGTAGTTACTGATAGGAGGGGGGGAGGGATAAGGATAGAGGGTGATTAGATCAAATAGATGATATTTATGCATCAAAGGAAGGAGAATAAATTGTCAAAGGAAAAGGTAGGGGGTTCTGAGAGGATGTCAGATAGGTTGGGGGTCAGGGGAGTGAGAGCAAGTAAGGAAGAGCAGAGATGCGTGTTGCTGTGAAGTGGGGACAGGATAGTATGATGTGTGTAGCTGAAAGACACAGCATGTGGAGCATAGAGGTGGATCAGATTGTGCAGATTATTTTAATTTGATTATGAAATCCATCAGATGATACCAATGAGTAAGGTTTGGCATTAAATGAGATTGTTTCTCAGCTCTGGTTATTGATGAAAACGTTCAGAACAGGTGAAATATCAATAATTTGTGACCATCAGCAAATGCAATGTATTCATCGGGGCAAATAAGGCCAAATAGTGTAGAAACTAACAATTTTCCTCTTCATTAGCTTTATAAGGAGTAATTTCCATGCCTGTTCACCATGAAAAGTATGGTCTTCATATCCATCTTTGGTTGATTTGACATTTATGTCATGGAAAATAGCACAAATTTGTCCATATTTAATTCATTTCTATGCAACTTCAGGCAATAAAACACACATTGTTCAATATTGTATTTTTATTAAATACAAAACAAATTTACAGGAAAATAAAGTTTAACCAGGGCTGCCTTACACACAGTATCTGCAGGCAAATATCTACATAAATATATACAGAGTTGTCAATAATTTAACTAACTGCATTACACTTCAAGGTGTAATGAGACTTCAATATCTCTTGAGGAAGCAAGACTAAATTCATATCCAAAAGATCTGAGAGGTATTAGTTTCATTATTATGTTGCCTGTCTGTACCCTAGTATAGATGGTAATACTTTATGGGCAAAAGCAATAGCTTAAAATTCTAGACAGGCAACAACCCCTGCAGTTTCAGCTCGCCCCATACTCCCATATCAAGGGACCACTTGACATCTAGAGTGTGATTATCAGACCCCCCCCCCCCCAAAGTCTTATGCCTTGGGCCTGTTTGAACCCCTATACAGATCATAATATTTCCCAGCCCCAATGCGTTCCCTCTTAATTTCCTTCTTCTCCCATGACGTCAGTTCGGTGTCAATGGGCAGGGCGGCTGGGAAGGGGTGGACGGGTGGTTCGCGCTCCAGGGGGTTGATGCGGTTTAGTCTCTTCAAAAGGATCTCCTTGTTAATCTGCTTGGGGTCACGATGCATGTCCAGATATCTGTCAAGAATTAAACAAAATAATTAATACCAGCAGAAAATACTACTGGTTATAACTGTTCCTGAAACAAAAGGCCACTGCTATTTCACATATTTACATCTCACAAAGGATACAATTAGTTCATACCACTGCCTGTGCTTGAGGGGGGGGGGGGGGAAGAAAGAAAGAAAGAGGAGAGAGAGAGAGAAAAAAAAAAAGCCTCTTCAAAAAATAGCACTAGGTATTTACCTATCAAACTGCCTCCTCAAAGGGAAGTGTTTCTGAGGAGCCATGTACATGTCTGGGAAGTCATATTCATAAAGCGGCTCTCTCATCTCTGGAAAGCAAAAGCAAATAAATACTTATTATACAGTTTTAAGAAACTGTATAATAAGAAAATCACACTATTCACAATTAAGCAACCAATAAATTCTCAACAAATGGATAAACTATCAATTAATAAATATCAACAACCAAGTAGGTACATCCAAACACACAACTCACGCAATGTATTGTGGAAAAAGTCTGTAAGTGACGAGTCCCAGTCAGCCTGGAACCATGCCAGGCCTGCAGGAGTCACCTCGTCCTGCATCTGGCGGTAGAAATCCAGTGTGGAGAATGACCGCTCCTTCAGTAACAAACTGTAGAGGAGAAAATGTGGTTAAGTAATGAACAAGAAAAACAAGAGCTTTAAAAATTTTAAAGAGTCCTACTTTTACATGTGGTGAATGGCCTGATACTATTGTATTAACAGGACAAAGACTGGAAGAATGCAAGGAGTTGTACTGCTATATTCAGATGGAAAAGGTGACCCCTGTACTAATTCATTTGATTTCTTTGTTTACAGATTCACTGAGACCAATGAGGCGCACAGCAGGCGCGGCAGGTGGCGGCGACCATTAATTACATTTGAAATTCAAGTGTATTTTCGTTTCGGGATATTGATGGAAATCAACTGGAAACCTTAACCTAGTAATGATGGGTGTCCCACATATGAGAGGCCCTGCGCGCCGATTTTGGACCCGAAAAAATAAACATTGCTGGGCGTCCCGCCAGTGTGACGCTGTATTGGGGCTCACGCTCCGACGCAGCAGCAGGCCACGGCTGACACACGGGCAGAGTCCAAGCCAGCCCTGCGCGCCGATTTTGTAGCCCCCCGGAATCTTTTATTTTCGGCTTCAAAATATACCGGCGGTAATGGGTTAACTGGAAGCCACATTTGGCTTTTTTTTGGTCAAGAAACACAGGGGTCACCATGGCTGTTTTCCCCTCCATCATGCCTCAAGAGAGGTTTGAACAGATTACCTGTAATCTGAACTTCATGGATAATGAAGCTGGGTATGATGAAGAGGTCAGGCTCTGGAAGCTGAGGCAGGTGATGCAGTTCGGTGACAGATTCAAGACAGTCTTTGTTTACAATTAGGACACTTCTATTGATGAATCCCTGTGGAGGTTTCGAGGCCACCTCAGCTACACCACCTACAACCCGAGCAAGCAGGCCAGATTTGCCTGTAAAGTTTATAAACTTTCTGCCAATAACAGCCCGTGTGAGATAATCATCCATGTTCCAGTAACATCCTCCCAGAAGGCCATTGTGGACCTGATGGAGATGGGTTCCTTTTTTTTTTCTTTTTTTTTTTTTTTTGGGGGGGGGGGTTACTCTGTGTACCTAGACTTCTTTCAGTCCAGGAAGGCTGGTGCTGTTGGAACGTTTTTCTAACATGGTGCCACATGCCAAAGAATCTCCAGGGCGACTTTAGAAGTTCCCCAACTGGTATGCTGGTGTTGTAGTGGATGGACACCAGTTCATACCACAGCATGGGAGAGGCACTCCATTGAGGAGGTTTTTGAGTGAACAAGCGTTTGTGTCATCTAATACAATGAAGGATTGAAAGGCATGGACCTCACGGATCAAATTACTAATTCGTAACCTTACATGCGCAAGTCAATGAATTTATACCACTTCATTGACTTGCGCATGTAAGGGTACAAGTAAAAAAAAAAAAAAAAAAAAAAAAAAATTTAACCTCTATGATCTGGCAATCTTCATACTTACTTCAAGTACCTTGGCCAGAGAGTAAAACGGCAGGACTTCCTACCAGGCGTCAAGCCTTACAGGACGAGGGATGACCAGGCACTTACCTTCCCCTTCCGGATTTCAGGGAATGACGCAGCATGTAGTAATGGAAATTCCTGGATGGAAGTACAGGATGTGCTTCCTCTATTACATGACTGGATGACATGAACCATCTGTGTCTTTGCATGTAAGGATGTTTCCAGAGATATCACTCTCAAAGAGATTTGTAAATGTATATAGAATATATACATATCAATAAATGGTGATGAGTATTATTCTTGTTCTTGCTCTCCTTTTTGCAATTGAAAAATATTGGCAAACTACACAATTTGACCTCATACAAAAAAAAAAAAAAAAAAAGGGAAACTACACAATTTGACCTCATACAAAAAAAAAAAAGCCAGTTGTGCATCACAAAGGTACTAGATTCACTTCTGTTCTTTTTCCAAGTGTCTTATGAAAGAAAACCAAAAACTTTAAGGTTTGCCATCTCATATGGACAAAACACTACTTCTGAGTATCATGCTTCATATTTTCCTCAATTTGCAACACTGATTGAAAGAAAGAAAAGCTGCTGCAAAGCCAATATTTTCAACTCTCAATTCTGAAAATCTTCAGTATCTTTGTATTAAAAGAAAGGTGAAAAGATACTTTGCAAATACCATGGATAAAGTTAATTTCTACACATACCTCTTACATCAACCAAAACAATCCACCAAAATCTGTAGCCAGATTACTGTCTGCAGGGCTCAACAATGAGTGGAAAATTCTGGGGCAAATGGGTTAAGTAACAGCCATAGAGAATACAAAAAACAATAAAATCAGCTTTTAAAATAATCTGCAGGAAGTAAAGATAACCAAAATGTAGATCTCTTAACATTTCCAGGAAAGCTCATGACTTGTCTTCACATTTTGAATTTTCTTATCAAACAGCTAAACTTTTAAACAGCAACTTCTAGTCCAGTTACCTGGTCAGATTTCACGAACTGCCGGGTAAATCTGATACTTCCTATCCCCAAAAAACCCACCCACCCACCCAAAACCCACCCAAAAACCAATAATATTCACGTTTCCTCTAGGACCCCTTGCCTCATATATTCATTCACCACAGTAGCTGAGCTACTTAATATTATAATAATAACTTGTCATTATTTTTTTTTTATACTGTTCTGGATCTAAATGCAGATATAATATTTTGCTGCTGTATACATTATGCTAATACTAAATATATGTCCATTGTTGTAGGTGTGTTTCATTTACATGAAAAAGAGAGAAAAAAAAATAATATGGAAATATGTGGGGTAACTTTTCCTGCCTCGACACAACACTGCTCAGTACTTATTTGACATATCAATATAAAATGCATATTTTCTTGGATGTGAGATGAAGGTCTAAAAAAAATTACAACAAAATTTCCCCAGGGGAAAAGTTGAATATTTGGGGGTAACTGCAGATGGGAAACATTGCAGTCTTTTAGCATTAAAATATAAAACAGCTTTTTTCAATTTTCTGCTTTCTTTCATGCCTTAATCACTTGCTATGAGTGTTTTCAGTCATATTTTCCCACTACCAAGAAAAGAAAACTCACCAAGGCTGTTCCTTCTTGAACTCGGAGAAGTCAATCCTTTTCTCCTGTTTGTACAGCACGAACACGTATCTATGGTAACCGGTGCCTCTGGGGGGGAAGGGCTGGAGGTAGTTGCAAATGACCTCTCCTGTTTCCAGCTTCCCTCCTTGTATGTTGCCGCTGGAGTATTTGCATCAGATGTTAGAAGAGGAAGAGGACTTTTAAAATATTACCATGTTGGGGACTGTGACAGCTAAACACTAAAGTTTACTTAAATACCTGTCTGTTTCCACTTTTCTACTGTTTTAAATTCACTATGCAAAAACCTTCTCAACAGAGTAGTTTTCCCTAAAGTGTTAATATATACTAAGGATGAACAGTATCTAAATATCACATATCCAGCATTATGAAACGAGTAAACTTTTAATACTTGACTTACACAAACCAGTGCAGACACTCTTTATCATTTTCATAGAGATTTCCATCTGGGTTCGTCAAGATTAAGGTCCAGAGATCATCTGGTGAACTTTCAAACTGGACCTTTGGCTCTGCTGCCGTCTGTGGACATGGTTGTTCGTTAGTTGCAAAACATTTTCACAAATACAAACAAAAATATTCCATATCACATTATTTTCTTATCTATACAAAAAAGACAACACATCTGAATTCTAATTATCCCAAACAGTGAAATATTCTGAGCATCTAAGAGTACCACATAAATCAATCTTACTATGTTTGTTGGGTAGACTAAAACTGATATAGGTTAAAAGAAAGATATTCTGTATTCAAACATGGTCTGATAGGATGCTAAATATTAATTAAAAAAAAAAAAAAAAAACCTTCAGAAAACATCTGTTCGCAAAACTTCCCACAAATCATACGAATCATAAAATCAACATCTTTTTTATATAAAGTTTTAATCAAATATAAAAAGCAATAATTTAACATATGCTAAAAAGTACAGTCTAACACAATATAATCAAATCAAACCTCTTTTGGCTTCAAGACATTGCCCCTATAGACAGGAGAGACTGTTTGTTCATCATAGTCGTAGCTGACACTCAACGGGACACGAGGACGAAAGTACGCATACTTCCCAAAGAGATCCCCAAAGATTCCGTAGTGGTGTGCAAGAGCTGAAATGTGATGGGGAGCGCTTGCTTTCTCCCAGGCATTATTCACTGTATCCAGGTCCAAAGTCACTGGAATAAAGAATATAGTGAAAAATATACACTCAAAGATAAATCAATAGACGAGTTTGTAAATGTGTCTGAAAGTCAAAATTCAAACATAAAATGCATGATTTATTCATGGGTTAAAATCTAATGCCAGTGAGTTATTATTTCATGTTAACCCGTAGCTGACAGGTGGCATGTATGTACATGCCATGGCTGTTGTGGACCAAAACACCTATGGTATCATATCATGCCCATTCCTGTGCTACTGGCTCGTCGGACTAGCGGCTTCATTTATATGGTAAATATTTTAGGCAATGGCACCTATAATGAAGGTAAACCTTCAAAATTTTAATATTTTTATAAATTACAGTAAAATAAAAACTTTTAGATGCTAAATATCGCTCGCAAACTACTGATCGAGCAGGGCGCAAACAGGGGAAACTGCCGATGCGCGCCAACAATCCCATTTTTATGTCCACTTGCCAAAATTTTTACCCGTCGGCACTGGACTTAATGATGCCCTCATCTGCTTTGACATTCCACAAATATGTCAAAGCAGAAAGCACTTCCTCCTCCTTCCCAGAAAACTGAATGCAGAAGAGAGAGAATCTATGATTTCAGACATAAAATAGAGAAGCCTAAAACTTTGAGTAAAGAGAAAATCAGAAACAAAATACAACAATTGACAATGCTTCAACCGGTATACAATCTACAATACATACATACATACCGGAAGATTTCTTAAAATAAACAAATAAATAAAGTAACACAAAGTAACACAAATACAGTACACTTACACTCAGCTTTTCGTGCTTGGCTCTCTAACTCTGCATTGCGTCTTAGAGCTTTGACATGCTCTAATCGCTGACCCAGCTGGGCTTTGCGAGAGGGTTTTCTCTCTGGCAGACCTATGTCCACTGGTGCATATACCTCTGGATCTTCCCTTGTGTGGTCTAGCTCTGTAAAATTAAAATCAATATCTAATATAGATGTTTCTTTTTCTTATTGGTAAAATAGTTATAAACTGCATTCATTACACTCTTATGCAATATAGAAAATTTGTGGGTCATGAACAAGAGTATAATATATTCTTATCAATATCATATGTAACATCATTGGAAGTTGTTATCAAGAGCAGCGCTGCCTCCAGAGACCAGTCCTAAAACCAGGGTATCATGTGAACCCAAAAACCTAAGCTAACCTTTCCTACCTTCTATCTATTCCCTAGACTGGGGGGTAAGCCCTCTTGTACTTCGCTTTATTTGCACTTTGTGCCAACCTATAGAAAACAGACAATAAGAACTTGGCTGTGTGAGGGTGCTGTGGACTTAGTCTCTGAGCAGTGACATGGAGTGGACATTTTCATCATTTAACTGTAAATATGAGGCTGCTGCAGCTGAAACTTTCTTACTTACTCTATATCTTATACACTATAAGGTGGTGGTGTCCATTTTCCTCAATCTATATATCATTATTCTGGTCTTTGTTATGTAGCATATTGTACATACTTGATTTTATATTGATGCAATTTTCAAAATTTCATATAATGAACTATATATGAGAATACTGTCAGTAAAAAAGAGAAATATAATCAAATATTTACCCACAACATATAATATGGCAGAAAGACCCACAATGCATAAACTAGATTTATTGAAGTGCATGAGACAACAGTTTCAGAATCCTCCTGGAATCCATATTCATGTCAGTATCAACACAGTAGTGTTTTTCCATTCAGCATAGAATATCCTACTTCAAGAAACAGTACGAGTCATTTATAAGCCAATACTCATGAGAGTAAAATAAAATATAATCTTTGCAAATCATTTATTACTTTGGTTGAGGTTACAGAGATGGACGCGCGTAGAAAGAGAGAAATGGACACCTCCATCTTATAGAGCGGAAAAAATAGAGTGGGATGGAACACAGTTTAAGTTGAGCCAGACTTATATTTACAGTTAAATGGAAAAAAACGGCGGCGCTATGCACTGCACAGAGACTGTCCAAATCAACCTCCTGCAGGCAGAATTCTTGTTTATTTCTACATTTTCTATAAATTTGTTTTCTATAGGTGTCTCATTTTCTGTTAATCCATTTTCTATAACTGCATTTTCTACGAATGTCACGTTTTCTTTGCACTACTTTCAACTAACGTGGAAGCATTACCCATTACTAATATTTTAATCCATTATTTAATCCTATTTCTACTAACATTTCCTCTCTTCCTTTTATGCTTATACATTTTAAGTATTGTTCTTTGTAATGCATATATTTTATGATTTATAATATCGTTATCATAACGTAGATTCACTGTTTAAACAACGTTACTGCCTCTTTACCTTAATTACCTCCCATGTCGGAACAACACAATGTTCATTACTTGAACACTTTCCGGTAAGCTTTTGACGTGAATGGACCTAGCAATTTTTGTGTCCAGTGTGACATGTGGTAAGTTAAAGATATTTGTTTCAATGTTTGTTTTATATTCATATTTGTTTTAAAGACAATTTAAAAAATAGTGTATCTTATATCATAGTGGATAAATAGTGTTATTAAAAAATATTTTATATGGTAAGTACTGGCAATTCATGAAGGAATATGCTGGTCGCATGCCCTCATATCGGTAGCCCTTAAATGCCCCAAATGCAACAATGGCTGATGATTTTATAATATATATTCATGTAGGTGCGAGAAAACCTCCCAAAATAATAATATAAAATTTAGATGCAATTTCACTTTGCCGGGTACTTTGCCAAGCACATATTAAAAATGGTGTATCTGGCGGAGAATAAAAGATTTCATTAGTTCCTCCACACTGCATCTCATCTGCACACTGACGGTATGAGTTGTATATTGTTTAATAATTTTTAAAATAAATTGACATCGTGCGAATAAGCAGAGGGGTGGGAATTAATTTGATATTTTAAGTTTTAGTTATTTTGGTTAGCATGATAACATTTTATATTTGTGAAAATTTTTGTATCGGATATTGGGTTTGTAGGCATTGTGAGATGCACTTGTTTACTTTAATGGTGTTTCATTCGGTGTCTGTCGGACAAAGTTTGGCTTGTCTTTTTGATTATGCGGCCTTTCTATTGTTGCCATGACATAAATTTAGGCTTGTCTTTCATATAATTACAATTTTTAAAGATGTTTAAGTAGTATTTTTATTTAGACATTTACAGGTTGCTATTGACATCGTGCATCTCCCCCTCCCCCAATGGAGCTTCGTGAACTCAATTTCTCCCCTTCATCCTCCCCCCCCTCCCCTCTTGGTAAATTAGTCTCTGCGAGTATCCCCTCCCCCCCCTTGGGAGGGGAAGAGGGGGTTCCCCCCCTTTGTCAAGACCTTCACTGCTATTGGTGCTCTAACAAAAGCCATCAAGCTACCAAGTCTCCGTTGTCATATATTCTGACAACAGAGACT